GAACAAAAACTACTTGCTAAATCTATCAATTGTAATAATGACTTCGCTCTTGCCATGCCTACTCTTGACCCCAACATCCATAAAGTCAATGGACATAGAATCTCCGGGTCTATCAGGAATAGGCAAGGGTCTGAGAAGACCAAGAGGGGCTCGTGTAGTAGTCTTGTTTCTCTGACAGACTTTACAACTGTGTACATACTCTATGCAGTCGGCCTTCATACCAGGCCATATCTTCGCGCGCATGAGGTTGGCTAATGTCTTTTGCCAACCAAAGTGTCCCTCTGTGTCGTGGCATTCCCCTAAGATCAAACTACGGATCTCCTCACTGTTAGGAATGCACAGACGGTCAACTACATTAGTCTTCTCGAATAGTAATCCATCAGTAGTGCGGTAATCTGGTTCAGAATCTGGGGCCTCCCTAACTATCTTGAGGAGATCACTATAGATAGGGTCCTGTACATATGCTTCTCTAACTTTCTCCTGCAGGTCGCTCCCTATATCCAAATAGTGAACTATTGCCCCAAAGTAATCAACTACGACATTGTACTTCCCTTCGACTGGTTTAAGTTCAAAGTCATACTGGTCTAATTCTGCGGCCCACCTAGTAAGCTTAGGTGTTATCTTGGCCTGTGTCTTTAACCACATTAGTGTCTCGTGGTCTGAATAGACTTTGAAGTGCCTCCCAAGCAAGTAATGCTTCCAGTGCTCTAATGCTTGGTCCGAGCGTAGCATTCCACCCTTGATTGGAAAATTCTAGACAAACTGGAATTGACTGTACACAATGTACAGACAAAAAGACTTCAGAAAACCAAGAAATACACGTGCAGTACTGTCTACACCTGTGCTCCCAGATGCTGTGGTTACCATGCACAAAACAGAATGGATATCACGGTATGATCGCCATATTTTTGTGTTGTTCAACATTAACTTCAAAGTGCCACTTGCGGTCGGATGGGTGTCTATTCTATTGTCATTCATGTCATGTGTCGTCAGTCTCGTGACACATCGGTGTGTGTGTACGCACTTTCATCATCTCAACAACAATCAGGATGAATATGGTCCCAATATTCCAACAGATCTCGTTGTCTATCACTGCTCCCATCCCTATCACTTACTAACGTCGTCTTCCCCGGAATACAACACACCCTCATTATGGCTGTACCGGACAGGAATGATAGCTCGTATACGTTCATTATCAGGGCGTATTATGTCCGGTGGAAGCCGGTAGCACCCAAATTAGCACTGCCTGGGTTCGTCATTTGTACAACTTTGCGAATGAATTCTGATGTGAAATAAGTTGCCTTCTCCCTACTTTTGGATTGGGTGTTTTTGCCACTTTCGATACCGGTCCAAATACATTGAAACTGAGTACAGGTATACCCTAAAGCACATACATATCAGAGAAGAGAAAAAAAACAAGAAAAAAGTAAAAATTGAAAATTCAGGGAAATATGGCAGTTTTGGTGAAATTTCGTCAAAATTCGCCGAATTTTGGGTTTCTATTAAGTTTTAACGGCTTCTCAAATTGGAGCATAGTGCTCCTGGCGTGGGAAGTATGAAGCCTTTGCCCGGGAAAAAACTGAGAAAGGAAAACACTGTTTTGCAAGATGTATCTAATAAAGGACGCTGGACCTGGTTTCCAGCAGGTGCTGCGCCCCACCAACAGATGGAGCAGCCCAACAGAAAAGCCCTTAATCACGGGGGTTCGTTCACCAACCCTGGGATAGAGGGCTTGTGGAAGGGCTATTCACACACACACACACACACCAAAAAAAAAAGGAATTTCATTCGTAGCCTCGCAGGGTTGCCCTGGAATGGGGCCCTTAGCAAAATTAGTAAATTACCCTTTTTTTTTTTCTTTTAAGAACGCCCCCGCCAGTGTTAGTGGTGCTGATAAGAGCAGACACCACTAACACCTGGGGAGAGGCTCCATCTATTGGTGGGGAGCATCACCTGCTGCAAAGCGGGTCCAGCGTCCCATTTACATACTGAAAGGGCACCTTAGAGAAACAATTGAGGGAGGTTCCTGCCAGCATTGATTGCCCTGGAAACCAGGGGATTGACTGAGCAGGGCCTGAAAGGGAGGAGAACCTCTTCACCCAGAACCGGGCGCCAGATGTTTGCAGCTACACACTAGTTCCTCCCTTCCTCTATCAGACCCAGTCCCAGCTGTCAATTTCTTATAATACCTGATAATGACTGGATTTACAGTACAATAGAGAACCAGTTGGGGCCGATTCCTGTGAGCATTGATTGCCCTGGAAAACAGGGAAGGGCATGAAAAAAGGGGACAATAGGGGAGGGGGAGAAACTCTTCGCCCAGGACCGGCCGCCAGATACTTGCTGCTACACGCTAATCCCTCCCTGCCTCTATCATCCCCAGTCCCTAGATACTGGGGTACAAAGGAAAACCGGGCTACTCGTCGGAACTGACAGTAACCGGGGGGACAGTAGAGACATGTGTAGTTTTGTTGCCTTCTGCTCTCTGTTTTTCTTCCAGTTTCTATGAGTTTCATGTAGGTAGTAAGTAGTAGGGTACGACAGGGTCTGTATGAACTTTGAAGTCTGGCCGGTGCCGTGAGTTGTCCCTCACGTGCATTCGGGTCGAGTAGAGTCTGGGTACACCGGGTCATGGTTGATCCATGATGGCATGGGCTGAAATGTCCCTCACGGGGCCTCACTTTCATGAGTTCATCCCAGCTCACTTTACCTGTTGGTTAAGTGATATACCTCTTTGGTGATAGGTCGTAGGTTGGATTCTTTTTTCTTTTTTTTTTCTCCCAACGAAGATTGGTTGGATTCCAAGTGAGGTGATCTTGGATTTCTTGTGTATCAAAACAAAACAAAAAAACAAACAGTGAGATCAATGGCATTTTTATGTGGTTTCTGGCACTTTCTGCCCTTGTGTCTCTCTCCCCACCCCCTCTCCATCCCCCTCTCCACCCTCTCCTGCCTCCATGGCCCGTTTCAATCCCGCCCTCCCACACATGCTTACCATGTACCAAAAGTTTTTTTTTTTTTTTTTTTTTTTTAATTTAACAACAACAGGTCCTTATGGCCCTGGCTCCAGATCCATCAGTCAGGCAACTGGACCTGAGAGGAAAGATAGATGCAAGGCAAGCTGTCCTTCGGGACATCCGTTACAATTGGAACGATGCACAGAAGATAAGCATGGCCCTTGCGCAAGGATGACACACATAAATCCAGAAATGGTCCAAATAAAAAAAAAATAAAAAAAAAAATGCAAGGCAAGCTGACAGTCAATCCTCCACACTGCTGGAGAAATCAATGCTGTTCAGGGATCCTTCGGCCAGAGGGAAGGAAGTGTGAGGGTGTTTATATTGTAATTTTGTACCAAAATATTCTCTGATATTGTTTTTTTTTGGTGTTGTTTTCATTGGACCATTTCTCGATGTATGGACGTCATCCTTGCCCAGGGGCCAGGACATTTCTGATATTGTCTTTTTTTTTGTATGGGCCATGAATTGCAGGCTCTGCAGCAACAACTGGAGCTGTTGTTGAAAGCTAAGGACCATGATGCCAGGTAATTTAGTATTAATTTTAGTATATTAATTTAATTTAATTTTAGTATGAATTTTAGTATGAATTTTAGTATGAATTTTAGTATGAACTTTAGTATTAATTTTAATATTAATTTTAGGATTAATTTTAGGATTATTTTTAGGATTAATTTGAGCTGTAAATTTTTTTTTTCTTTTTTTCCCCCCCCTTGAGCAGGGCCCATGCTAATCTCCTCTGTATTGTTCCAATTTTAACGGAGGTCCCGAAGGACGAGTTGAATTTTGAACTGTAAAACTAATACTATTCTTTTTTTTCTTTTTTTTCAATTTGGCAATTCCTGTCTTTTTTTTTTTTTTTTTTTTTTTTTTTTTTTTTTTTTTTTTTTTGAGCTCCGATCTATTTGTGGGGAAACTTTTAAATATGACCCACCCCATTTGGTCGAACGGTATACACGTGGAACTGTCCGCAAACAGTTGACCATGCGTTCGAATCCTTATGGAATTTTTCGAATTTTTTTCTCCTTTTACTACATAATAAATAAAGAAAGAATACCGTGAGTGGGGCACACGCAAGCAGCTTTCTTTCGCCTTGTACTAGAGAATGCCGTGCTACAATATGGCCCTGGAACAGAGATTACCACTGATTTTGAAAGCGAGTTTTCTTTGAGGGGGGGCCGGGGAAGCGACCGATAGCATCATATCATCCTCGCTCGGAAGGAAAAAAAGAAAGAAAAGGGGGGAGGGAGGGTAGACAGGAGAAAAAAGGCACTCTGCCGTGGTTCTTGAAAAACGCTGAGATGAACCTGGTCTAAATTCGAACCAGGTCCATCCGAAATCTGACTGAACTTTAGGCCCGCCGAAGAAACACGACGGAGTGGTGGACGGAGAAATTGCCTTTGCATTGAATTTCACGAGCGAGCTTACATGATGACGACATCATCAATTGAGCAAACGCACTAGGTAGCTTCAATCGAAGGACCAGAAGCCCCATTCGCGCTGTGTCCTTGCGTAGTATTTCAACATGAACTTAGTCTTCAATCCGGCTAGATTCAAGCTAACATTAGCAACCCTTCGGTTTTGCCCTCAACATGAATGTAAGCCCTGTGTGAAAAGCAATTTCGCAAATATTCTGACGAATGCCAAATGATGATCACCAGTCTTCAATGATCAATACTACCGTCTTCCCCCAAACATAACGCACCCTAATAATGAATGTACACAAGCTATCTTTCCGGTCTGCTACAGTCATAATTAACGAGGTTGCGCTGTGTTCCGGGAAAGCCAGTAAGGCCCTTTCCTGCAGTATGCAATAATTGGATAAAGGCTTATAAAGCGAATAATAAATTCTTTTCAAATTTCAAGGTCACCTTAACGCATAATGATGTACCGTAAGTCTAATGTCCATCTCTGCTCCACGAGGGGTCCTTGCTAATCGTAGGGGGCCTTCGAAAATGAGACTGGACGAATAGATTGGAGCATTTCTATAAAAAAAAATACTAATAATAAAAAAAAAATGATGTACCGTAGTACCCTCCTTTTACCATAGTCATAATCCGGTAACTCCCGTCCCCCCCCNTTTTTTTTTTAAACTTCGTATACAGGAAACCTACTTAACAAGGTGGCAAGGGCATCCCTGGTAAGTAGGCCCCAGCGTCGAAGGCTTCATCTATTGGTGGGGAGCTGCACCTTCTGGAAATCGGGTCCAGCGTCCCTGTACAATGATGAAATGTGTATCGTCTGGAAATCGGGTCCAGCGTCCCTATGCAATGATGTGTGATTATCTCCTACTCAGCATCCCATACTGTCTATATGTGTTCGTTAGTCTTATACAATGATGTGTAGAAATGTCGTAGTACATATTTGATTACTAATCTACTGTATCTCCAATACGAACCTACCTCCCACCTGGGGGACAGTCAACATTCCATGTTGATTGAAATTGAGGGCTGGATGACTCCAATCAACAGAGGGCACATCTTCTATCCTACTCCCATCTACTGCCCGACATGGAGGGGCGATTCAATATTGAAAAAGAAAGGGGGGGGGACGATAAAACGTTTTTCCAACATTAATCCCTCCTCCCCATCCTCGTCAGATCCCCACTCCTCTCCCCCTGTGATGATGTTGTTGTTGTTGCGGCTGTTGTCACTGTTGTCGTTGTCGCTGCCAGCGGTGCAGGCACCGTTGTCTTTGCCGTTGTTGTCGTTACTATTGTTGTTGATGTCTCAGTCGTCGTTATTGCCGCTGCCAAAAATGCAGCTGCCTGTAATGTCGTCGTGTAGTCTTTGTTGTTGTTGCTGTTGACGTCATCGTCAACAATGTCGATATTGTTGTTGTTGTTGTTGTTGTTGTTGTTGTTGTTGCTGTCCACTCCGCTGTTGCCATCGTCATCATCAACTGCTCCCCTGTCTTGTCACTGTTAATGATGCTGTTGTTGTTGTTGCTGTCGCTGACCTGCGCCCCAGTCTTTTCCGCTGATATCGTCGATGTTATCGTGTCTCCTATACTGCCGCTGTTGTAGTAGCTATCTGAGAGTGCTCGCCCTTCCCTGAAGAGATCGTAGCATCTGCGTGTGATCCCGCGCTCCCGCTCCCAATCGATGATGTCATTAAGCAGAGGATCCGCCCCCTCCTCCATTGCCCAGATAATGTCCAGCATCTGCTGAGACATATCCTCCAGCCAATCAGCCATCGAAGCCCCGCCCCCTCGGACCTCAGATGGGTGGTTTGCCGGAGTTGACATCACCCGCACAATCTCTTGCAGCTGAAGCCTCCCATCCTCCAGATCGGACAACCATGCCTTCGCTCGCTGTTGTTGATCTTCATTCGACGCCATCATACCTGCCATCTTTCCTGCCGCGTCGTGTTTGTTGTGTATCGACCGTCGCCCCACTTCTTCACGCCAAACGTTCTCCTACTTTCCCGCCAATAGATTCACATAGAGAATCTGCCACGTCGGCGTTACACGCGACGTGCGGTGGGACCTGTAGCCTAGCCAAAAGCCACCTGGGACATTGACGAGGCCAGTCGCTCGAAGGGCAGTCGGGCCTTGCCGGCTGCGATCGCTCAGAGCATTAGCGCTCCTCACGATGCGGCGGTCGTAACGTTGGTTGCCCGGGCAGGCCATCTTGGCAATTCCTGTCTTATGAGGATGCCAGGTAATTTGAGCTGTAAAATTAGTATTGAAAATTCAAGTTTTTAATACTTTATATGTCTCCCCCCCCTCCCATAAACCACTGCTGTCCCTGAACCTGTTTGTCGAACCTTCGGGGGGGTGGGGGTGGGGGGGGTTGTGGCAAGAGCCTGATTGTTGTTTTGCGGTGGGTTCTTTCTGCGTTAATTCATCTGCAATCTAACGGTGGAGACTGCTGGCCACAATTTTCTTTTGCGGCTGCACAGCAGATCTGGTCCTCACATTGACTGACTTGCATGGCTCCCCACCTCCCCTCTCCAGCCCTCTTTGTGTACAAGTGTGTTCTGGAGAGGCCATTAGGGAGAGTGGTGGTTTAAACCATGGTTACGCCAGACCTGGACACCGGTTACGATGGCTACACCAGAACTGTACCACAGATTAAGCCTTTTGGAGGATGAATACTGGATTGCGTAGATCTGCACCAATTCAGTATATCCAGTGGAAGAGTAGGGCCCGGCGGCCTAGCTCAGTTGGTAGAGCATGTGAGTGGCATGCAGGAGGTCGTGGGTTCACTTCCTCCCATCATCCATCCAATTCCCCACGGCCCCTGGTGCGCACTTTGGGTTTACCAGCTGAGCTAGTTGGCTTGCCCCCCCTGGCGAATCTCAGTAGGGGCCTCTAGGGGCCTGCGCCCCTCCCTTCCTAGCTCAGTTGGTAGAGCACGTGAGTGTCACGCAGGAGGTCATGGGTTCAATTCCTCCCATCATCCATCCAATTCCCCACGGCCCCTGGTGCGCACTTTGGGTTTACCAGCTGAGCTAGTTGGCCTGTCCCCCCTTGGCAAAAGTGACAAAGATGAAAGGAAAAAATTGTTGTTTAACTGCTGGTACACACTTATTTGTTCATTTACTAAGTTTAGAACGAATTCATAAATCATTTCAACAAAAGATTGCGAAGCATTGGGTACTAAATGACCGCCATTCATGGTGACAAAATGAAATAAAAGCAAAACTAAACTAATAGTGAGTAGCATAAACAAAAATGAATTAGCAAAAGAAAGATACAAGTTTTCTATATGAAAAGGAATCAATGGAATAATAGCATCAGTAGGGGCCCCCTAGGGGCCCGCACCCCTCCCTCCCATCCTGTCCCAGGGGCTAGGCTGAGACAGAGAAGGCTAAAGCTAGTAGGGAAACTTGTAGACCAACCAATCCAGAGTTTAAAAAAAAAAACTCGATATGCAATGTAGTTGGTAGTGTGGGGTATATTGAGAGAAGAGTATAGATTAGCTTTATATAAATTGATGCAAGATTCAGCAAGAACAAATAATACCTCAAAGTTTGTAGCGCCAAGAAAAGTTGGTGTGTGTATAGCCCACCACAGGCCAAAAAAAAAAGAGAAGAAGTGTGTGTACCATTCACCACAGCGCTACGTTTGTGGCGTGCAGGTTGTACTTCCAGACACTGAAGGAGAAGGACAAGGAGTTATGCCGCGAGAGAGAAAGGTCTGCATTGTTGAGTGAAATGCTTGCGGAAAAGGAGCAAGAGCTTCGCTCAGCTCTTGCAAGCCCCCCCAAGGACAACCTTCGAGGTGACCGGTTACCGCCTCTGCCACCTGTGAAGATGAGCGATCAGCCACCGCCTGATAATGCTTTCACTGAGAAAGCTCTGTCCCTTCCGCAAATCCTGAAGTCCCAGTTCCTATCCTTGCTCCCCCGTCGAAAACCGCTGCAGCTGGATAGACTCCCCAATCAACCGGATGCTGTAGAGAGGGCCGTTGAAAGAGAGTCGTTCCATAAAGATAATGTGCATCCCCCTGTGTCAGCTGCAACTGTTCCCGGGCTGATTGACGTAACAACAGCTGGTCCAGGGACAGCAATAGGAATGAAAAGCAATCCAGCTGTGACTGTTCCAGGGCTGATTGCTGGAGCAACAGCTGGTCCAGGAACAGTAATAGGAACGGAAATCGATACAAGAAAGGCTGCTGGCAAAATAGTCGAGTCTGGTCTGGCTGCCGGAGGTATTCAGCCTGAGGAGCGCCCCGGCTTGGTGAGGAGAGGTGCAGGAGGGAAGGATGGCGGTGCACGTTTACGACTTCGCACCGAGATATCGCCACACTCGCGTGCACGGGAGCGGCATCGAAAGCATTCGGAAATTGGTGCTGACAAGAATGGCGATGACGAGGTCGCGTACAAGTCACCGAACATGCCGGCAGAACGGGCAAGTGGCGAGAATGGTGAAAGGGAGGAGCAAACTGGGAGCTTGCGCACTGGTTTCCAAAGAGCGAAGCAACGTAAGTCAAGTCGGCCTAAGTCAAGTCGCCCTGAGAAGTCCCACGTTCGAACGCCACCTCCATGCAGTTCTTCGCCGGAGGGAGGAGAGGAGGAGGGTAGCAGTCCTGCTTCTCCTCTGGTAGTTCAGGAGAATAATGGATACCTATCTAAGTCCTTGAGCAGTGAGGATGACATCGATAGGGTGTGTCAGCTGGCAATAAGACGCAGTTCTATATTCTGCGATTGGAGGTCTGCAGGCGGAAAGATTGAGTGCCGCGGGATCAGCCGTTCAAAACAGGGCCCCGTCACCGAGCTACAAGAGAAAAACCCTAACCCTAACTTGCCTCCAACGGGTTCCCGAGCAGTTGTCATGGAGCTGCTGTGCGACAAAAGCCCGCAATCACCTCCAGGACCAGTTAGTGACAGAGGATTGGGGCGAAAGCGAAGCAGGCCAGACAAGACGGGAGAGAGCATATTACGAAGAGAAGTGAATCAGCTTCAACAAGAAGGTCAGGTGCGCCAAAACGATGTCACCGAAGCTGCCGTGGACAACAACAACAACAAGGGATGGTTAAGCACCAAGAAGAGGAGGAGCTTTTTGCCGCAGATTTTTTCCGGATCTAGCGCAGAGGAGCAGGCCACAAGGATGCAGAATGACGACGCACCAGGTGTGCCTGGGTCCCAAATGGGTAGTCCATCTCAGGAGCAAGTGGCTGGGGACTCTCATCAACTTGCAGAGGGACGGCTGAAGGCCCACTCCAGTAAGTGGGAAACCCCAAATCTTCCTCGGATCGAGTGAAAAGGAGGAGGACAATGGAAAAAAAAAAAGACTTCATTGCTTGGAACAATAAGGGAGAGAGATGGAACATCACTGGCGACGCTTGTTTTTTCGAGATCAATTTGGAAGCCTCGAACACCAAGGAAGCAGCGACTGAGAGCGCACTCACTACTCACACAAGGACGCATTTTGATGTGTCTGTTGGACTGCAACTACCACCAGCCGGGGACGCATCGGACTGCAATTACGTCCAGAGCTGAGAAGAAAAGGTTCCAGTGTGAGTATGCCCTGAGGAACGGAGCGTATCTCACCATGAGAGGAGTGCTACAAAGCATTATTGTCGACGGGCTTGTGATGATGTAATCAAGTATCCTCGAAGACAATGAGTCGCTGTTTTTGCACCCTAAATTAGTCGAGTACCGTCGAACATGATGAGTCGGCGGAGTCGCTGTCCGGCACCCTAAACCGGGCGGAAGAATATCCATCTTATCTTTCCTTGATGCAAGGCAAGCTTCGTCATGTGGGTGGAGCTTGCGCATGCCGCAGATTGCCAGTACACGGCCCCAGCATTGCCAGATTTCTTCATCGCCTACTCCTAAAGTTTTGGAGGCTCGGGGCTACTGGACGACAATGGCTGGCGGCGGCGGCCAAAAAAGAAAAAAAGAAGTGCGCCATTGGCGGTTCGGCAAAGTGGCGCTGCCAGCGTGCCAAGCCGGGGCGTAATGGCGGTACAAACCTTCAGAGAGCATGAGAAGCTTTGCGGAACGAAGGCCTTCTTCTTTCCATCGTTGGTCTGGAAGGTATCCCCGCAACCCACCGGGCATAAACTATGTTGGGTTATACTCCCACTACGACTTTTTTGACTCTTTTCTGGAGACATAGTTGTGGTCAGATGCATCCAGGGTAGGAGGCCGCAATCGCGGTCTGATTCATCTAGGAAAGTCCTGGTGGGACTTGCATCCATGTCCTCAATGCAGCTGTAGTCTCCCGAGGCCATCAGGCGCAATGGCAGTTTCACTGGCAAGATGTTAACTTGACATTATTTTTATGAGCTGAGAAATGCGATTGATGACGTGACGTGTGCTCAGTGAGTGACAGTGCTGGGGTACGCCTGAGTTTGTGACAAAACATTGATTTTGTAGATGCTCTGATTTGCTGACTCAATCACTCTCCACCACTGCCAGTCCTTGATCGACGACGTGTGCAAAATATATGCCCCCCATTTTTGCCAACTGATTCTCTTCACCCCTGCAAGTCCTTGACACTCATCTTACCATGTGCTGCTTCGTTGCATCTTGCGTGCCGCAGTTAGCAAGCAGACCAAAGCAATTTTTTGCAGTTTTGCTGCTGTGTGACTTCTCTGTGACTTGTATCCACTTCTGCAACATGGGGCAGCTCTGCGACTTGTGCCCCAGTTCAAGGGGGGGGTAGTTTTGCGACTTGCGCCACAGTACAAGGGGGAGTTTTGTGACTTGTGCCACAGTACAAGGGGGAAAGTTGGCTGTGACTTGCATCCACTTCTGCGACATGGGGCAGTTGTGCGACTTGTGCCCCAGTACAAGGGGAGTTTCGCGACTTGTGCCACAGTACAAGGGGCAGTTGTGCAACTTGTGCCACAGTACAAGGGGCAGTTGTGCAACTTGTGTCACAATACGTGACCTCTCTTACACGACGACGGAGTACAGAGCATTTGTGCACAGAATCTCGGTAATGACGAGTCTAACTTTATTCCACGTACTAATGCACTCACATAATTAGAGTGATTGGCTGGGCTCATGAGCTTAAGCTCTGGTGCGGGAAACCTCCAGGTACGGGAGCTTTCCCTCTCCGGCTCTCTGGCGATCTTCCTATTCTCATCGTTCTGGAACTTCCCCTTCTTCCCATGAGCATCGCAACAAATCCGGATGAATCTGGCCACATCCATAGACATAATTGCGGTCAGATGCATCCATACTCTGGCGAGTGCTAAGGACATGTATGTAATTCTCCTTGACACATGAGGAGGAGAAATCTACTCTCTCCTACTCAGTATCATATAGGTCCCGACCGCCCCAGCCATGTGGCGGAATGGCATACACAACTAGCTGTTAAACCACCAGTACCCCAGGGGGGTCTTCGGCCCCCTCTGGGGAGGCTCTGAGGCAAATGCATATGGACCTGCGCGGCGCACCCGATTCAGCCACCACGTTAACGGCCTAAGAACGTGGAGGTACTGTTGTTTTAAACCACCAGTGCAAGAGCCCTCCAAAACTTCCTGCAGCATACGAAGGAGGCCACACTTTCAATGTGCCAGCCTGCCAGGCACCATCTCGATTTGTTCGGGCGCAAAGTTGCCGCAAACTGATTAGTTTTCGTCCGGGGAGAAGATCGATGACCAGCGTGGTGGACATTCTTACTTGACAAGCTGATCGTCTTGTCCCTCCTTAAGTGCAGTGGCGTCCTCGTCTTCGAAAGCAAAACCAACAGGTTGAACCTGGGGTCCGTTGAGTGCCGAATGCGAACGTCAGATTGCTGCATTGGCGCAAAAGGTCGATTTTTATTTCGTCAACTTCACATCCTGTTATCCTGCAGCTCTGACATGATTGAAGAGAGGGTATCGTACCACGCACGTGTAGTTCACACCCTTGGCTCATATCCACCACCCGGTAAGAGGCACCAGGGGTAATCGGGGGTAATCGGCATCACACTATGGCCCTCATCTCCCGCTCGACAAGATCCAAAGCCGCGCGGCTACTGGCACGGAGTTAGCTAAGGCTTCTTCTTTGGGTTTTGTCATAATGTCACAACCCGATGAAAGAGCTTTAGAAGATGAATCCGCTTCTGCGAGGACCGACATATTGCGATTGAATGCACAAGAAGATGATCGAGTGGCAGACTATGCCTCCATCGAGCAGGGGGGGCAGGGACAGATTTCAGCATGCCGGCCCTGAGTGGAGATCGCAGCATACAACCAACCACCAGCCTGCCGCTCGACTTCATGCTGTGTCGTTGGCCAGTCAGACGGTCTGCGGTGGTTCTTTTCAGCGGTCAAACGGCTGCAGAGCTTTGCTACATGACCTGCATGCAACAGGCAGAGGAGTGTTGATAGGCCGAATTGCGATGGCGAAATATGGCGGAATATGGCAGAATATGGCGGAATCGCGTGCCCCCAAGACGAGGGGTGTCAGTTCACCAACTTGTGACAAGGGAGTGACATTTCCCAAGATGAACCGGCCCTGCACGGATTGGTCTTGAATCTTTCAGTGTAAGTCTGGAAACTTGAAACTCCTTGTTTATTTATTTACCTTTTTTTTTTTTTTTTTTTTTAAATGGTCCTAATGGTCCTGACTCCTTGTCCATTCGGGGGGGTGTCAGTCCAGTTACAATTCTTTTTTTTTTTTGGGGGGAACAGTTACAATTCATGATTCACGGCCAAGTTAGTTTGGAGCAAAAAATAAATGGATAACCCTGAGTCCCTGACCCAAAGGGCCTAGCTCAGTTGGAACTCCAGTGAACTGCTGAAATAAAGACCCTTAAAAAAAAAAAAAAAAAAAAAAAAAAAAAAAGACCCTAGTTCACATCCAGATGCAATCAAATGCACGGAACAAAGTCACTAATCAGAAATTGTAATAATTATAAAATTATAATAACAAACAGAAAAAAGGACACAACACATCCTTCTTTTTTTTTTTTTTAAGAAACAAAAATGACCCTTCCATTATAAGCCAGAAAACGGGTCTGCCGTCCCTCACATATATGCCGCAGCCATAATGCAGGGGTGGGCAAGGCACTCCTGGCCAAACCCATCCCCGACCGCAGCCAACTGTTTTATCAAGAAATTACTAAAACCCTACCGTCTTCACCCGAATAGATCATCCGGTAATTATGGCCGTATCTGGACTGAAAGTTCTATCAAATACAGCTATAATGACCGGGCATTCTATTCGGGTGAAGAAGGTAGTAGTTAACTGCGCAACCACAACCTCCCACGACGAACTACAGGAACCACGGTACGCTAGAATCTCCCACGACGAACGAGCTACGGAAACCGCGATGCGCTATATTTTCCTTAAAACACAAACGTACCTTATATAGAATCTACCAAGAACTCAAAATCCAAATCCTAAAAACCAAAGGGTCTGACGACTATTCTCACTATCTTTTTTTTTTTTTTTTTTTGCTGCCTTCTCCTCATCGGGGGACAGCCATATATTTTTCTCTCACCTCACATATCTTTCTTTTAACTGGCGTTCTGCCACGTCATCATGGAACATATCTTTCTTTTCAGAACCTACCTACCACTACTCCTAAGGCTATACAGGGGACCCCTGCAAGCATAGCTTTCTACCTCTCTTCGGTGAAGGGAGGTTACCTCTCTCGGTCGTTGGAGAGGGGTCAGGGCATGTTTGCCCCTTGCCCTAGCGTTTTTAGGGTGCAGGGTTGGGGCCGCCGGTGGGGGCCCGGCTAACACAAGGACCGAGCATTTTGCCGGTAACTGTGCCTCCCTATTCATCTTCCCCCACCCCCATCGAGTAACAGTAGTGTCTAAAGCCAACACTTTCCCACACACCACACTCAACCCACTCACACACACACTCACACCCATGTTGGCTGAAGACCTTTCTGATACCGACTGAGAGGATCCAGCTGACTATCTCAGTTGGTTGGCACCAAGAGTGCTACAGGCAGCCATGGGGAATGAACCCACAACCTCCTGAATGCCACTTGCGTGCCTAACCAATTGAGCTAGGCCGCTGGATACTATTCTCACTATCGTCAACCATCCTTTTTCTTTTTTTTCAGAAAAAAGGAAGATATCATTATATGCTGGGAAATGGGCCCAGCAGGTAAGACCAGAAAATTCGAACTCTCACCGGAACAACAGCCTCACTGGAAATGAAAAAAACTTTAAAAAAGTCAAAAAACTTGAAAAAGGAAAAAAGAAAGTCCCATGTAGAGAGTGTTCGGTAAGTAACTCTATTCTTCAGCTGCTTTGGTGATAAATCCTTTTTTTTTTTTTTTTTAAGCCCAGGGTGTTGTAGAGGTCGGTTTCTGGACCCACGACAGGTACCTATCTACAGTCAGCAACTAATTTATGGGACCCAGACCATCCTATCTTGGAGGATCCCCCTCAGACAGCCCCTACGGCAGGTTCCCCAACGATTTCCTCCACCAGAGTCTGTCTACTAACACCCCTCCTACTGGTGATAAATCCTACACGCATGTCAATTGAGTATTACTTTTCACCAGGCCGTAACATGGGGAAGCGTCTAGTGTGGCTATTTCATGTAACTGTCCTCACTTCCCGGTGGAAAAGGGACATATGGAATGTCCCAAGAATGGATATGGAGCTGGGGCCGATACGGTCCTGTTTACAGAGGGGGACACCGGGCCTGTTTCCCGGGACGTGATGTTCCCTATGAGTACGATTGGTGGCATTGGTGACATATAAAAAGGTGAGGCCTTCATTGTGCATGGACTCGTATCCCTGCAATGACGGAGGCGCGCCTCGCATGATGTTTTGCTGGAAAAAAAAAGGAGGGGGGAAGTGGTTTGGGGTGTTCCTTCTGCTCCTATTTGTGGAGGATGAAGCTGACAACAACATAAAATGGAATCACCGGACTGAAGTCTGGATTAAAAAAAAAAAAAAAAAAAGGAATCAATCTGAGAAGAAAGAAAGGAGGAGAAACATAAAAATAAAATCGGGGAAAAAAAAAGAAAAAAAAAGAAAAAAAAAAGTAGCATGGCGCTTACACAAGGCAGGGGAAAAAAAGAAAAGAAAAGAAAAGAAAAGAAAAAAACATTAATGTCTTTCAATGACAATGGCTCGCCAAAGAAAAAAGAAAGAAAGGCGCTGAGTCAGGAAGCCTAACTTAAATAATAATAATAATAATAATAATAATAATAATAATAAACAGAGCCTTAGGGTTCCGGCTCCTTTTCCATTCTGGGGAGCATCAGTCCGGTTCCTATTCCACCAGCAAGTTAGAAAGGATTACAATAAGTACTCACTCACGCTCCTCCCCCTTATGGTGTGGAGGCCCAACGGACAGCATTGATTAGTTCTCGAAGGAAGGATGTACCACCCTTCACCCCTGCCTGTTCTATTGGGAATCTGCTCTTATCCTGTGTTTGGTGCTAAAACCCTAAACCCTCGCTTCATGCGTCTTTGTCTGTAGTCTGCTCCTGGCGGTCGTTTCTATACCATGGCTGTTGTTTACACCTGTTTTTGGTTGCTGGGGCTGGTCTGAATTCTAGGCTTCGCTTGAAAGTGGGGAGTGGTCTGTTTGAATTCTGGTGAAGGCTTTCCTCGTAGGGTAGATGCTGAGGCTTGGGAGGTGGCTGGGTTGGGGGGTTTTGGATAGGCATAGTGTATTGGGTAGGTGTGGAGGGGGAAGGGAGATGATTGGAGAGTGTGGCGGTTTGATGACGATCTCTTGGGGGGGGGGGGGGGGGGGGTTGGGCGGGGGGAGGAGTGGGTTTGTTGAGGAGAGACGGATATTTACTGGTTTGGTTGTGGATTAGTGGTCAGTGGCTGGTTTGGAGGTGACTGTGTGTGTGTTGGGGGAGTTGCAGTGGCGCTTTGTATCTGTGTTGTTATGATAAGCCAATTTTTAAGGGTTATTTTGTCATTGTTGATTGTGCCAAGTAGACCATTGCCTAGTTTAGAGGATGAGAACTTGTTGATTATTTCGTTTTCTTTGTCGGGTTAGTGGGGAATTGATCGAGTTGCTTCTTCCAGAGGGCGTGGATTTCGGTGTCTATCAGTTGTTTGATGGTGATGAGCGGGCTTTCCGGGGTGGTGAGTCAGTCATCGAAGGTGTTGTCACATCCTTTTGCATATGGCCCAGAGCGTGCTTTTCTTCATTTGGGAGGAAAGGAAGGCTTCGAAACCTTCGAGCGGGGGTGATTGTTTAAGGTCGAGGAATAGTGTGGTTGGGTTGATTAGAAGGGGCAAGTCTGAGTTTTGTACCATGATAGTTCTAAAGTTTGCCAGAGGGATCTGGCTTTTGGGCAATCTATGAAACAATGATTTAGGGTTTTAGGGGTATCGAGGTTGCATACCTTGCACTAGGAGTCTTGTTCCGTTCTGTTTTCATGATTTCGTCTATTGGCCAACCATTGGTTTACTGGGACAGCTCCGAAGGCTATTAGTCATCTCAGCCTGGCTAGCTTGACCGGTCTTGTGGAGAAGACTGTGGTCCAGGGAAGTTTGAAGTGGGTGTTGGCTAGTTGAGGTTCCTCTTTTGCCCACTGTATTGCCATTTTTTATCTGATTTTAGTAGTAATCTTCAGTGTAAAGGAATGCAGTCTGGTTTAGGTTGGATAGGAGGTGATGTACTCCTTTTAGTTTATTTCGTAGGTCTCTTTCTGGTTTCCAATTTTTGTTTGGATCGTCCCAGATATGTTTGATTTGCCATATTCTTTTTTCTAGCCAGTGTCCCCATTTGGTTTCTGACTTGGTGAGTGGGACGCATTCCCCTTTATCGTTCTTGATCGGTGGGTTGCCGAAGAGGGGTTGTCTGAGCAGTTCATCTTCTTTCTTTGGACCTGTTTGGTTCTCTGGGAAGATGATTCTCCAGGTGTGAAGGATTTCCTCCGGAAGGGATTTGGTCTGGGAGGTGTCGTTGGTGTCTCCTTCGAGTGCTTGGTCGAAATGTCTTTGTTTCCCTTTTGGGAGTGGGCAGGATTTGTTGAAAATCCAGAAGCGGCCTCTGTCATGTTGGTTGGAGAAGTGAATGGTGCAAGCTCTCTGATGTGATTTAGGGCTAGTGGGATCCACTGGAGATTGTCTTCAAGGCCTAATCTTATGAAGTTATGATCCATTTAATTTGTAAAGTCTGAATTTATCGAGTTGGATCTAAAAAACCTAGGCCCCTTTTGCTTTTTGAGCCGGTGACCATCTTCCAGGCCACATTGTGGATAAACTTCCGATAAAGTGTTGCTTGTTCGGCTTACCTATCCATAGGAATGCTGCTGCTTTTTTCCCCAATCGCCTTTGGAAGTCAGAGGCTGGGAACCCGATGGAGGTGGAATACCACATCATTGCTAGGATCGAATTGTTGAGTATCAGTACCCTGCCTAGCAGGGAAGTATGCATGGTTTTCCAAGTGTGCATTCTATTAACCATTGAAGACAAGAGTGTTGTTGCCAGTGGTTGGTGACATCCTTTGAGACTGAGGTTGATGCCCACGAAACGGATTGACGAGTTTGGATCTGTCCACTGTAATCTTGGCGGGGTTAACTCTATTGGGGGGGGTGTTTCTGCGGTCCACCGGCCTATTGTTTTTGCCCAGTTAACTTTCATTTCTGAGGCCAGTGGGAATGTTTGCATAACTCTTGTCGGGGCCTAGAAGGAAGAGTTTGATGCCCTGATAAGTACTGTAAGATCATCCACGAATAGGAGAGTGGTAGGGATATGAAGGGGTTGACCTTGTTTATCTTTGATGTTCTTGATGGATAAGTCCTTTCTTAGGAAGGCGGTGATAATCTTCATGACACAGAGGAAGATCGGTGGTGCTAGTGGGTCCCCTGGTCTTACTGACCTTGTCATTGGGTAGGGGTTCGAGAGGACGCCGTTGACCTGTACTATCCCTTGCGCGTCATTGTAAAGTATTCTCACCCATTTTCGAAAAATTGGGCCTACTCCCATTTTTTCCATGCTGACCTCGACGAAATCCCAGTTAATTGGTAACTTTTTTTTTTTTTTTTTTTAATTACCCCGGTGCCTGTGCTAGGAGAGGTGATAAGAGCACCCCTTTCTAGCAAGAGACCTGGGTGCTCTTGTCTATTGGTGGGGAGCATCACCTGTTGGAAAGCGGGTCCAGCGTCCCATTGTACATCCGACATCCGACAGCCTGCCAACATTGATTGCCCTGTTTCCAGTTAACTTGGTCATATGCTTTTTCAAAATCGAAGAAGATGATGCCCGCTGCGATACGTTCTTAACTTATTATTCGTATGGATTCACAGAGAGACATTACATTGTCTAATATGAGTCTTCCTGGAATGAACCCTGTCTGGTCTAGGTGGAAGCATCTTTCTGTGATCCAGTTTATTTTGGTGGCCAGGAGTTTGGCTAGGATTTTGTATCCCACATTTAGTAGTGATATGAGTCTGTAGTTCGTTATGTCCTCTCTGTTTCCCTTTTTTTTATAGGAGTGTCACCACCCCCGTACTCAGGTTTGGGCCTAGAGATTCTTCCTCCTAGGCTCTAGTGAGGAATCTGAGGAGGAGTGGGCCTAGGGTTTGTAGGTTTTTCATATGCAAGAGTATCTCTTATTTTCTGGGTATAGGAGGCGGTATGGGTCTATTAGGTTTTTCCTGGTCATAAGATCGTTTAGGTCTACATTGTTAGATTGAGGTGTGGGATCTTGAGAGTGTGATATCTTGTCTAGGTTCGGGTTTTGAACTGAGTTCCAATCTCCCATGATGATGATGGGTGTGAGTGTGGGGATGAGTTGTTTAATCGGGAGTAGAAAGGGGGTTTCATCTTGTGGTGCGTTCGGGCCGTAAATCCCTATGATGGACATCTCTTCTTCTCTGTATTTGATGTCCAGTTTGATCCACCTGCCTGTCAGGAAACCTAACTTACTTTTTTTTATTTTTTTATGGCTAATTCTTTTAAGCCCAACCAATTCAATTACCTGTCAAATCTGGACAGGACGGCCTGGAACGCCTTTTTCATTATCATTATTGTATTACGGGGAACCCCGTAGCAGCCACAACCGTGTTCAACCAGGGAACGTGGGGGAGCTGCACCCACCAGCAGGTGCGATACCTGCTTCAGCAGGTGGGCGATACCAGCCAGGGGTCAGTCGGTAGCATTAGGACCGAGCTTCTTTGATTAGCCAGTTGCTGTGCCTCCCCTCCGCTCCCCTCCCCCTACTGCCACCTCGAGATAGGCCTTTGATCCCCCCGAGCGGCATTGAGCAGAGACTGTTGATGTTCGTAGGGGAAGGGAACCGGAGGGGACTCGAAGCCTAACATTTCCAGTTGGCTGTGTCTTTTTTTTTTTTTAAGAACCTATCACACCTAGCGTGACCTATGTATATTACTCATGCAATCACTCTCTATCCAGGACACTAACTTCTTCATCCAGGCTGAAGCTCCAGCATCATGGCCGTATTTGGACAGGAATAGTGCTCATATACGTTCATGGTGATGGGACATTGTTTGAGGGAGGAAGAAAAGATTGCTCCAGTAGAGAGTGATGGTGCTTGAGTGAGATGGGGTTGCGGCAGGGAACGTCTGTTGCTGGAAAAAAAAAATTAGGTTGAAAAAAAAGAAAAAAAAAGAAAAGAAAAAAGAGGTCTGAATAATGCTGCCTGTAAGGGCCTCGCCACACCACTCTCGAAATGTGAAAAGGACAAAAATGTGGCGAGTGCATCTGGCCATGTTCTAGCGGGTAGTTCATTATCATTTTGCACATTTCGATAGTGGTGTGGCGATGGCCTAAGAGCTGCAGATACAGGGGTCGCAAGGCCTCCAATCCCACTTCATTGGGTGGAGCCCCTCCCCTGTAGTAAACCACTGTCTACAACGTAAAAAACAAAAAAAGTAAAAAAGTGAAAAACCAAAGTGAAAGACCGTAAAAAAGCCAAATGAAAAGTTCCAACCCATAACATCTCACGAAAGCGACAAGCCAACCTCAAAATCCTGTAGGTAAATGAAATCGAAGGACTAAACTACAAAAAAAGAAAAAGAAAAAGAAAAAAGAGAGGACTAAACTAAACGGAATTACTGAGTCAAATATTAAAACCCTAAAGAAGACTTGAAAAGAAACAAGCAGAACCTCGGGGCAATGGGAATAAATCTTCCGGTAGAACACGGAAAGGTCGGCCGCCATCCGTTTTGCCATTATAGTGGAGCAAGGCCCAAGATATACGACGGTCAGGGAAGGCGGATTTTGTTTTTGTGGTGGAGAAGAGGGGAGATAGAGAACAATAGAGAGGCACCAAAGAGCAAAAAGAGGGAAAGAGAGAGCACGAAGGTGTTTCAACCGTGTTTGGGGAAAAAAGGAACTCCAAACGCCCGAGCCCCTCTTCCCTCTCTTTCTCCGTAGCTCCTCTCTGCCATTTAAAAAAAAAAAAAAAAAAAAAAAAAAAAAACACGTGCATCTCTATCTCACACACACACA